CACACACCAGACTCTCATTATAACAGAAGCAATTTGTGAACCAAAGTTAAGATTCCTCTATGAAAAATAAAAGGTTAGGAAGCTGCTAAGTGGCTCACTCTGAGAAGGAGCTCCCAAGCGTCAGGACAGCAAGCATCACTGCCTGTTCCTGCATGGACTTAGGGCCAGGCTGGGCGTTTGCCTGAATAGAAGAGGGATATCAGATTTATGGAGAGGATGAAGGTGATTTTTGTAACAAGCTCAGATTGCCTGCAACGACGCCGTCTTTATTCTGCTCAGTTCAGGCTTGAATATGGTTCCTAGCGCCTCCTGGTGGCCAGAAGGAGCAACTATGTGCCGTGCTAGCCAACACTCCAGCAACTCCTGTGCTCGGTTTTTTCTTGATATTCCCCCACCACCCTGCTCCACCTCATGCCTCCCAACCTACTCCCTGCCCCCAGGAAGTAATGAACGAGATCTTCACGTCTAAAAAAAAAGCGAACCAGTTAAAACTTTTCTCTTGTGTGCTTAGAGGAAGAGCTTGTACTAATGGGGTCAGATAGGCCAAGCATAAAGTGATAAATAGGAAAAGGATGAAAAGAGGGAACTAGACCTAGGGGGCCTCAGTGGACCTACCCTAACCGGGGATTGACATACAAAAGGGTGTCAAAATCATGACAACACTCCAGACTCTTTTCAAAAGAATTTAGGCTGCCTGAAATTTTCTATGTAGATTCATTTTCATGCTCTGTGCTTAGATACCTTGGAATGTGGCACAGTTTGATCTAAAAATTCTCACTTTTACCATAAACAAACAAACAGACTTAATGCTCAGATATTTGGGCTTTTTAAAGTTGCCTTGATCAAGTGTTGAAGACGCGAGGTTTGTCTTCTCAAAGAGTTCAGGAAACAGGACACCTGAGAGTTGCCAACCCTCAGATCAGCACAACGTGCGTGTGTCCAACAGATGGCGAACATATAAAATGCTACAGGTGCTAAAACGGAGCCGTGTTTTGCACCTCATCAGCTTTTAAACAAACATAAGGACACAGGACACTGTTAAAAAGGGCAGTAGAATTTAATATCTGCGCGGCGATTTCCTTCCAGTAATCATATTAAAAGCTGAGATACAGAACTAAAAGTGTGCCAGGAATGAAGTCATGGTTGAGATAAAAATGCTGCTGACTCTGGGTCTTGTTCATCCCAGCAACTTTTCAACCCTCCCCGGATCTCTGCTGAGCCTGGCTGACCACTAACAGGCCAGCGAGCGGGGAGGGCTGCTCTCCTTTGAAACGAAACACGCGCCAGGCGTCCCGGACCGCGGCGGGGCGGGGCCAGACCCCAGGCGGCCGGGGTGGGTCGGCCTATAATTACCCGGGAAATGCATCCTCAGCCGCTTTGTGCTGCAGCTGCCCGGGCACCTTCGCGTTTTCCTGCTCCTCCCAGGGCGGCTTGGCACTTGGTTCTCCCTGATCACAGCAAGACCGCACGGTGTGGGCAAGACCGGCCGCGTCAGCCAGCCGCTGGGGAGGGCCAGCACTGGGTGCCCCTCTGCACCGTGCAGCCGGTCACTATGCTGGGGATCATCACCATCACAGGTAAGGCGGAGCCAGCGCAGGCGTGTCCCCCTCGGCATGGCAGGTGGAGTACGTGCCTTTCTCTAACCTGCGTGTGTGCGCTTGGGGGGGGGGGGTCGAGGTCAGTGGCAGGACATGCTGATTGGCGTGTAATTCTCTCTGTGTGCTGACTTTTTGATCAGAAGACACTGTGGCTCAGTAAGAACCAAACAAATGTAATGTTTTCATTTTGCCAATGCAGGAATCTTCCCCCTGTGCCTAGGGGGGGACCTGGAATGTACTTTGCTAGGGACTGTCCCCTTTCCCCTCGCAGAGAGAGGACTACCGCAGGAACGCAATCATTCATGTTAGATTGGAGTTTATTTCAAAATAGGTTGTGACAGGCCAATCACTTGCTGTCGTAATAAGATATTAAAATTCCTGTTTTTGAGAAATTGCAATATTTGCATGTTGACCTGCTTATTAGGAACCTTCAAGAAAGGGTACACTTGGCAGTTTAAGGGACGGAAATGTTAGCACGGGTTTAAGTGGCGGTTTCGGTAAAGCCATAGTGCCTGTAAAATTGGTGGCTAGCAGTTAGCAGCATTTAGGCAATGAAATAGTACAAATGTATGTGTCTTAAGCTTGCTTTCTAGAAGTCTGGCTGAGTAGGAAATACATTATTTAATACCTACCTCCAGCAAATAAATGACATGTAAAACTTGTAGAATGTACAGGTAGCTCCTCTAACTTGGGTTTTATCGTATGGTGACTCCTTAGGGACCTGCCTGTTTTCCTCCTCGCTCCCATTTCCCGCCATCAGGACAAGGAAACCCCATGTGCTAATTTAGATTTTTAAGACCAGCTCTTCTCTATATATTTGAGATCACTGTTCTCCAAAGCTGCATGTTTTCTTTAAAGCACAATACAGAAGAATTTCTAGGACGTAAAATTTTTTCTCAATATGATTGCTTCTGCAAAGCCTTGTCCTCTTACAGAATTTTAAATGAATGTGAAAGTTTAGCCAAACTCAAAATATCTCCCACTTCCTCTAGATTAGCTTGTTTACTTGGAGATTTCCTTAAAATTCCTTCCCCAAGTTAACCTGACTAGACTTCCTATCATTTGCCTAGTATGACAATTTACAGGGTACCTAGAAATTATTATTAAATAGACTACAAAATTTTAAAATTAAAAACACAAAACTCTCCTTTTTTTTTTCCAGGTCATTACTTTTTCTATGAATGAAATTATACAAATGCCCAACCCTGAGAGAGGCTGCCTAGGAGTGTGGTTTGTGGGTGTCACAGCTGGGGGGTGGAGTTTCTACCATCAAAACTTTTTTCTGGGTGCTTTTTATATATACAACCTGGCCTTTATTATATTCGCTATTTGATTAGTTTATCATATGTTGAGTTTCTTATGGGAAAGGAAAGTGGTCCTTTTTAGCACTAATTAGGAGTTAAACTTAGGAAACTTGAGCGGGGCTTTCAAAAATTGGTTCAGATAATCCAAATGGAATAATGTGATCGGAAGCAATTGGAAGGGCTCTCTAATTTTGTTGTTGTTGTTAATCCTCACCAGAGGGTATTTTTCCATTGATTTTTACATAGAATGGAAGGGAGGGAGGGAGAGAGAGACAGAGACATCCATTGGTTGCCTCCTGTAAGACCCCAAATGGGGCCGGGGATCAAACCTGCAATCCAGGTATGTGCCCTTAACCAGAAATCAGACAGAGACCCTTCAGGCTGACACTCAACTGCTGAGCCAAACCAGCAGGGCAGGCTCTCTAATTTTTAAGGCAACCTCGAGTAACTGGCTCTGTTGCTTTCTGAGTTTTACTTCTGTTACAATGGAGAATGTGACAGAATTTAGTACTTTTTCCTGGTAATAAGAAAGTGCACCAAAAATCTGAACTCCAAAAATTGTAATAGCAAACTAACGTGTTATCATGGAAAGGGGGATTTCAACTGTCTTTTTTCTCCCCTTCTTCTGCAAGTTTTCCTGATACGGAAGATTACAACCAGTTGTCTTTAAATAGTTGGTCAGAATCTTGAAAAGCAATGAAGAATTTATAATTGGCATTCGGGATTAATTAAATATCAGATTATGCACCTAAATGTGAGAGTCCTTCTAGTCCTTTTTAGTACTACGTTATGCAAGGAGCATTTAAGTTTCACAATTCATAGGAAGGGAACAGGATGATGACATTTTTGTAGAATTACTTAGGAACGCGCTTCCATTTCCGAAAGTAGGGAAAGCTGTCGCCAGGGAATTGACCCTCCCCTACCCGACCCCAGACGCACACAGCCGAAACGGGTGCAGCGGGACTTGAATTATGAAACGATTGATCATTCACATTACATACTATCTCCTTTCTTGAAGTCTTTCCCTCACATCACCTTAGCAATAACTAGCTTAAAAACTAGAAAATAAGTGATTTGATATAATAATGATCAAAGAGGTGTCCTCTCCCCCACCCACTTATCAGCGGTGTGCCAGCAAAAAAAAAAAAAAAAAAAGCTTTTTGAATTAGGGAACTCACACACCGACTAACTAGAGCGCCGCGAGGAATTAGGCAACGTTCTTCTTTAAGTCTAAAGTAAACGGGGGAACAAAGAATCCTGCAGCGTTCACTGCAGGGTCTAGCTTATTTATAATGCAGTTCTCCATGCAAATCATTTTACATGATGAGATAAAACTCCCTCATGGCTGCTTTTATCTGCCATGGAGGCAGATTAGTTGTCAGGAAATTTACGGGACATGAGATTGATACCTTCACGACTGCTAGAGTAATAACTACCACTTACTGAGTACCCACTGTGTGGCCGTTACCATTATTCTTCACAATAACCTTGCAAAAAGTGGTTAACCCCCTTATCTTCAGGATACTGGAAATAGGTTTCTCCGGTGTTCCACAGCTACCAAGAAGCATAGATGCCGATCAAAGGACTCCTTTCTTACCGTGTATAAGGTGTGCACCACTCAGCGTCACATCAGGCCAGGTGATGACCTGTGTGCTCCTGTAGTGGGTTCTGCTTATCTGAGTTGTAATCCCAGTTAAACAGGGCCCCTTCGAGGTTTTGTGGTTGATGAGCCCTCAGAACAAGAGGAGTTGGGTGTGTAGGATACAAGGGACGGATTTAGAATGCGGAGAATTCCTGGAAACATTCCAGGACAATGCTGCAACTCGGAGGGGAAAGGTAACCAGTTCCAGATGTCACCACAAGCAGTCCTGATGTGCCTGGGGAATGGAGAGCACTGGTTAAACTGAACTTAAAAATTCAGTGAGATTAAAAAAAAAAAATTGAGTGAAAGCATCTTGTATGCACGTTATTTTAAAAATCGTTTCTCGCTTCCAAGTAGCGTTTTCAACATACTGACGCTCGCACACAGGCATGTCCCTTTCTCCCAGAAAAGGGGACTTGAAGAGTGGGGTTTCTGTGGTGATGCTCATTTAAGAAGCAAGACTTGCATGATGTTGCTTCCACTGAGGGTCGATTTGGAAACACGTGTCACACAAACCGTGTACCGGGCAAGACTGTGTTGGGCGTGGTGCCCATGAGTGCGTGGACGGTGGCAAGGACGTAATGTTTCCCATCCCTTTCAGGTGGCTGTGGGGTGGGGGGAGGACAGTGACCAGCAGGGGCAGTGTGAAGATGGAACTCTGCCAGCTCTGCCCCTGGAGGCTTTACCAGGCGACACACTGACTTTTTGCAAAGTCTGATGCCTGCTGAGAATGTGGAGTCTGGCCGAACCCCGGTGTTGGTGAACGGGCACCATATTTGGACTTTAGGGGTGCGGGAGAGACCTGCTAGATTGGTAGGGGGATTCGCTAACATGGCCCAGTAATTCAAAGGCCCCCATTAGTGATAACCATATGTTGTGTCAGAAAGGACCCACCCTGAAATCAGTTGTTTCTGTGGAAGGACTTTGGGTGCCGAGAAAGTGCACCCCTAAATTAGATGACCAAGCTTTTTGATTCTCCCCCTCCTGTCCAACCTGCTCCATGTAAGGCAGGTAATAATTCTGTAGGGAGCCGATGTGTTGAATTCTAGCGGAGAGGGCTTGAAGTCATTCAGAGGTACAGTTAGTAATGAAATGTTCGTAAGTGTGCTATGAATGGGTTCTGCTACACTGACTCTGGCCAGGTGAACACTGGCCTGTCCTTCCCAGAAGATACTGTTATTCTGGCCTCCTGTCACTCACCTGCTCCCTTCACTCCCAGTAGCCAAACCTGCCGGCTTGGTTCTCCCCTACCTGTGCCCCACCTCTTTTTTAAAAATCCTTACCCGAAGATATGTTTGTATTGATGTGAGAGAGAAATGTCGATCAGTTGCCTCTCCAACAGATCGAACCCACAATACTTCAACCAGACGACACTCCAACCAACTGAGCCATCCAGCCAGGGATGTGCCCCACATCTTTTTTGTGTGTGTTAATCCTCACCAAGGACATTTTTGCATTTATCTTAAGGTAGAGTGGGAGGGAGAGAGGGAGGAAAAGAGAGAGAAACATTGACGTGAGAGAGACACGTCAACTGGCCGCCACTCACACGACCCCAACCAGGGCCGGGGACAAATCACAACCAAGGTACGTGCGCTGAGCAGGAACCAAACCCGGGTCTCTCTGGTCCACGGGCCGAAGCTGCCCCACACCTTTTAAGCTGTTCTCTTTACTGCATTTGCTCACCAAGCTATGATCTCTAACTCATTCGAGCCAGTGTGCAGACAACATATAATACCTTAAAAAAGGTTTCTGCTCAGCTCAAACCAGAGTGTGGGTGGGAAAGATGACGTTCGTTTGGAGACCTCTGCCTTCAGCCAGAACCGGGAAAATGTGGGCTCACTTTGGTGTACATTTGAGGTGTGCAAGTGAGGAAATTAACATAGAACAGAGGGCTGCAGCCTCATTTGACCCACACTCGGTCCAAAATGGGGTACAGAATCTAGATCTTTACATGGTGCAAAGACAGAGGCGAGAGGGATGTCTGTGCCCCATTTTTTCCCCTTGAAATGTTAATGTTGGGTGTCAGAGAGGTAGAAATAGGTACAATATGGCATTCGACTTTCAGAATTTGAAAGGACCCCTGCACTATATGTCTTGGTGGATTTTCCTTCCACAGGGTCTTCTGGTCCTGAATATCTGGGAGAGCTGGCTGCCTGTTGGGGAGAGCTGAGAGCTGCTCCATGCTGCCCCCTTCTGTTCGGAAACATTCAGGTGTTTGATTTTACACTCCTGTGAGTGAAAAATTGGACCAATGTAGATTATTTAACAATAGGGGGACAAAAAAATAAATTGTGCAGCCATTCTATCAGCTTTTAAGACTATTGAAAAACTTAGAAGAAAATTCAAATATTGAACATTGTCTTATGGATGTTATTCACCATTTTCTATATTTTAAAATCTCCTACACTTCATAGACATTATTTTTGGAATTGGTACAAGGAATGAAAAAGAAATTGTTCTGTTCTGAAGAAAACTGAAGGGGAAAAAAAGAACCATTATAGCTTTTGTTGTATTGTTATTAGAGATGACCGTTTGGTGGTTCATCCTCGTAAGTACCCTTTGCGGGAAGTACTGGAGGTGACCTTACAGGTGAGGACACTAAGAACAGACACTAAAGGGAATTTTGGCCAAGGACTCGTTGCTGATGGGTGATGCAGCTGAAACTGAAACACCAGTCTTTCTCCAGAATGTCTGCTCTGTAATCTTCCCCTCTACCTGAATTTTGTCTCTTCTTGGGGCAGGGGGGAGGGGTGGCTGGTGAGTAGTTTTTCTATTATTCAACACATTGTTAATGTTTATATTATGTTATATAACGTGAGGCAAAGATCCAGTGTCCTCTGAAATCAGGGAGGGTGAATCATCACCTTCCCCACTTTCGTTTTTTATGTTTTTATCATCTGCACTCGTTTACTCTTCTGAGTGATTTTTTTCAAAACAATAATTCAAACTTATAGGAAGTTGCAAAAATAAAAACAGTCCAGGGAACATCCAGATTCGGCTCTTGTTAACATTGACCTCATTTGCTTCATTATTGACTCTCTATGTTGGAAAACAAGACAAAAACCAAAACCAGCGTGAGATAAAATTTTCTGAACCATTGGAGGTGAGTCCTTTACCCCAACTTCTTCATGTGTATTTCCCAGGAATAGAGATATTCCCTTTCATAATTGTAGTACAGTTATCCATGTCATATATTTGCATTTTTGTAATGCTTTTATTTATTTCCTTTATTGATTTGAGAGAGAGAGAAAGGGAGGAGAGAGAAACATCGATGAGAGAGAATATTGATTGGCCACCTCCTGCATACCCCGCACTGGGGATTTGGCCCACAACCTAACCAGGAATTGAACCAGCGACCTCTTGGTGCATGGGTTGACGCTCAACCACTGAGTTACACCGGCTGGGCTATTATAATGCTTTTAAATAATCTACTATCCTTACGCTAATTTACCAGTTAATCTAATAATGTCCTTTTAACATTCTCCCTTGCACTATGAGATTTATCCTTGGGTCGGGTATTACATTATATTCTTTAGCATCTTTTAATCTGGAATATTTCCATGACCTTTGTCTTTTAAAACATTGACACATTCAAAGTATATAGTTCTCTCCCCATTTCTACCACATTCCTTGTTTTGTGTTTGTTTTCTCCTGATTCAATTCAGGTTATGCATTCTCAGCCATGGGTTTGTCCATCTCAGGGTATGGCACCCAATGTCCATTCGTCCCTCATAGATTGATGTTGAATTCTTGCCTTTCTTCTCCCCTGTATAATTAAGTTTCCCCCAGTCTTTCTACTATTCAGCATGTAAATATCCTGCCCCTACCTTCCTGCTCACCCCATTTAGTACCCATTGGTTCTTGCTTTACCCAATCTTTACTGCGATGGTCACAAAACTGATGGTCAGGTGAGCGTTTGAATATATGAGTGGGTGGATAGGATATGTGTGTTCTTTCTTTTCTTTTTTAAAGCATGACTGTAACCATGAAAAACAAACAGCTTTTTACACCGGAATGGAATTTAAATTGTTACCTACATCAGACATATAGCAATTTTCCCATCTAAGTGTGGGAGTTGACGTGTCTAAATAAGTGTCATAAGTGGCATTTCTTGTCATAAGTGGCATTTACAAATTATAAAAAGTTATAATGGTTTATGAAAAATAGGTTTTTTTTTAATACTTACCTGAGGATTTTTTATTTATCTTCAGATAGAGTGGGAGGGAGAGAAAGGGCGAGAGAGAGAAACATCATCGTGAGAGGGACACATCGACTGGTTGCCTCCTGCACAACCGCAGCCAGGACCGGGGACTGAGCTGCAATCAGGGTCCGTGCCCTTGACTGGAATCGAACCCGTGACTTGGTCCGCAGGCCATGCTCTAACCACGGAGCAAACTGACTCGGGCTGAAAAATAAGAATTTTAACACTTTGCAAAATATAAGATTACTTTTCTTTTTTTAACGATAAACTTTGCATTTTGTTCTTTTGCCAGTTTCTGGCCCACCAGGGATATCACACACCTACTTGACATTGGCCAAGTCACCTGACCATTAAAAAAAATAGACTTTATTTTTTAGAGCAGTTTTAGAAAAATTGAGTGGAAAGTACAGAGAGTTCCTATGTGTTCTCTGCTAGGCTTTCCCACTATCCACACCCCCACCAGGGTGGTCCAGGTGTTAACAACTGATGAACCTGTGTTGACACATCATTATGGCTCAAAGTCCATAGATTATCTTAGGGGTCACTGCTGGTGTAGTGCTTTCTATGGATTTCACAGTTTCGCACAAAGTAGTTTTGCTTTCCTAAATAATCCTCTGTGCTCTGCCTATTCATCCTTCCCTCCCCCCTCCCCTGGCAACACTGTTCTTTCTACATCTCCACAGTCTTTGCCTTTTCCTGAATGTCATATAGTTGGAATCACACAGAATGTAGTCTTTTCAAATGGGTTTCTTCCACCCTGGCCGGTTTGGCTCAGCGGTTAGAGCATCAGCCTGCAGTCCAGAGAGACCCGGGTTCGGTTCCCGCTAAGGGCACGTACCATGGTTGCAGTTTTTCCCCGGCCCTGGTTGGGTCGTGTGGGTGGCTACCACTCGATGTGTCCCTTTCACGTCCATGTTTCTCTCTCTCTCCCTCCCACTCTATCTGAACAAAATATCAAAAAATGTCCTTGGGTGAGGATAAAAAAACAAAACAAAACAAAATGGGTTTCTTCCACTTAACATTTTAAGGCTCCTCCATGTCTTTTCGTGGCTTGCTTGCTCCTTTTGTTTTAAGCACTTAGTAATAGTCTATTGTCTGAGGTACCATAATTCATCCTCTCACCTCCTGAAGGACATCCAAGTTTTTGCAGCTATAAATAAAGCTACTATAATCTTCTATGTGCATTTTTATGTGCACATACATTTTCAACTCATTTGGGTAACTACCAAGGAGTATCATTGCTGAATCTGTGGTAAGAGTATGTTTAGTTTTATAAGAAACTGCCAAACTGTCTTCCAAAATGGCTGTACCGTTTTGCATTCCCCCCAGATAACCACTTTTGAAGTCAGTGTATTCCCCTGTAAACCAGTTGGAGGGACCAAGTGAGCCCTACTCCCTCCATGGCTCCAAGCTCTAAGTCTCCACGGCTATAAATATAAGAACATTGTAATGGGGACATGCATGAGGTTCCAGTTCTTGTGCTAATACTCAAGAAATTAAAGCTCCTGCAACCTAACCGAAGCTGTACAGGTTCCTGCCAGGCAGGGCGGGGTTTGGGGTCGGCTACTGAACTTAACGTTCCGAGTGGAGGGTTTGGGCGCAGGGTGGAGGGTTTGGGCGCCGGGTGGGGGGGGGTTTGGGCGCCGGGTGGGGGGGAGGGTTTGGGCGCCGGGTGGGGGGGAGGTTTGGGGCGCCGGGTGGGGGGGAGGTTTGGGGCGCCTGGTGGGGGGGAGGTTTGGGGCGCCGGGTGGGGGGAGGGTTGGGGCGCCGGGTGGGGGGGAGGGTTGGGGCGCCGGGTGGGGGGGTGGTTGGGGCGCCGGGTGGGGGGTTTGGGCCCCGGGTGGGGGTTTGGGCGGTGCTCCACGTGCTGCAGCGTGCAGACGGGAGGGGCGGTTCACGAACGCAGCAGCAGTGAGGTTTAGCAGCAGTGTGCTGTTTAGCCAGGCCTGCTGTCAGCCTGCAGTGTGCTTGGTTTGAAGAGGGACCTCAGTGGGGTGATGCACGGGGCCCCCTGGAGGTTTCCCTCTGTGACGCGCTTGGTGGTCCCCAGGGGGCGCTCTCGTCAGCGGCGTGGCCCACTGGCGGCCACCAGTCACCACCCAGCGATGGGGCAGCCGGGAGGAGGAAGCTGGGCCTCCCGGGCCTCTACAGAGCAGCCCCTGCCAGGCGGTGGGCGCCATGCCCTGGTGGAGTAACCTCTGCTGTGAGTAGCGCCCCCCATCGGAGGTTCGCCCTGGGGACCTGGCGGGCGGAACAGCTTCGAGGGCCACTTACTGTCGGTTAGTGGCGAGAACAGAGGTAGAACATGCCACGTCTCAAAAAAAATCACTAGGTTTTAGCAAGGGCCAGAAAGATGCTCTCACTAGCGAGCCTGGAAGTGAGCAAAATGGGGGGTGCGGGACAGGATGGAGCAGGCCTTGCTACTGGGGATGCAACATGGGGTGAGTGCAGCCAAGGCACAGAACACGAGGCTGAACAGTGGGATCTCGGTTTCGTTGCGGGTTCCAAGCTGAGTGGGGAGCCACGTGGTCGCACGTGGTTTGGGGCGGGATGCCTCCCTGTCCTGTGCACGTGTGCCATCACAGTTGGCGTTTACGTTGGAACCTAATTTAAGCTTTGGCTGCCAGGCCAGGTAGTTTAGAAGGCTACCGTCTAGGTCCTGCAGCTATTGAAGGTGTGTGACAGCTTCCTGATGTGGTCAAAGCGGTATTTTAAGAAGCATGAAGCACAGCGTCCCGCAGGGTCTGTACGGCCCCGCGGGTGCAGGAGGCAAGGGGAGCTGAAGTCAGAGCTGAGGTCCGTTTGTCCAGCCTTTGCAGGAAGCACGAAGGTGCCATCTGTGCCCGCAGGGGCCCGGTCTGGAAGTGTTCTGACCAGGGGAACTCCCAGGATTACTTAGGTCAAAAGAGACGACAGACCAGTTGACAGGTTTTTTAATTTTTCTATTATCTTGTATACATATTTTGTGTGTTCAGCCCATATTATCACTGTATATAAAGAGAACATCTGAACCTTGCTAAACTGTACTGTACTATCAGTAACTGTTCAGTTCTGCCACTTGGAGGCAGTTCCTCTTTGCTTCCCTAGATCATGCCAGAATTTAAGAAAATTTGTTGCAAATTGTAACAGATTTAGGAGCAGGAAAAGGGGTGGTGGTGGTGGTGGTATGATGAACACCTGCTATGTTAGCAAAGTGTCCCAGCATTTTCTAATGAATTTCAGAAAGGTTGGTTAATGAGTTTGTTTTTATCTCAGTCTTGCTGGCAGGAAATTTATGTTTGTGTTCATTACCAGTAAAATTGTGCTAGAATGGAGTTTATTTTGGGGGTTTGACTTTTTTCTCTGGTGTATTTCCAGTGATATCATCCACCTTTCTTTTTTTCGGTACGTTCCCCTAGTGGGAACAGAACCCGGGACTCTCTGGTCCGCAGGCCAGTGCTCCAACCTCTGAGCCAAACCTGCCAGGGCTACCTTTTTTTTTTTTTTTTAAAGAAAAAGGTCACACCTCTTGTGTTGCATTTAGAAGGGTTTGTGGAAAGTTTTCTCGTATGTTTTTATGATTGGGGAAATTTATAAGAAGTAGTGTGTGCCATGGAAATGCACATGAAAATCTTTAATTCTTGATGCAGTAGAATGATGATAAGGATTGAAATGGAAATTATATGTAAATTCATTGATTGGCATTTTTCATGAGCAAGTACTCCCTGCTCTCATTTACTTTTTTTAGTATCACACTTGATCAGTGGGTTTTTTGTTTGTTTTTTTATCATCCTCACCCGAGGACATTTTTCCATTTTTTGTTCAGGTAGAGTGGGAGGGAGAGAGAGGAAGAGAGAGAGAGAAACATTGATGTGAAAGGGACACATCGAGTGGTTGCCACCCGCACAACCAACCAGGGCCGGGGACAAACTGCAACCGAGGTACGTGCCCTTAGCAGGAACTGAACCCAGGTCTCTCTGGACCGCAGGCCGACGCACTAACCTCTGAGCCAAACCGGCCAGGGCGGGTTTTTAAATTTTTATTCAATGCATTGTAACCCATCACTATCACTATTCTTTTTTATGCTTCAAAGTTTGTCCAGAGGGAGCCCCTTCAAGCTAGCTCAAGTGCTTTAGATATGTCCCCCTCGGCCTTTGAGCACCTCTCTTCTGTTACGCTAAAGTGTTCTTCATACTTTCCTTGACCCAGCCCAGAATTTCCTAAGGAGCTCTGGTGTCTTTTGGGGACTTGTTAGAGCCCAGACTAGAGATCATATAGAATGCCCTCCTTTAGATTTGTCTAGATACTTGTGTTGTTATTTGCTTATTTCTCTAACCCTTGATTTCCTATAAAGGGGAAGTTATATCTAAAACTTGATGGATTATGAGTGTCATATGTGATGGCATTTTGCACTGCGACAGAATGTACACTGTCTGGTTGACCTGACCTTCATGATGCTGTAGCTACTTATGTGTAAGAAAATTTTTGATAGTTGAGATTGTTAACTTTCTCTTTTCAAGGAGCAGAAAGCAGAGTATTACCTTTGAACAGGAATTTTTAAGGTCATTTGAAAGAAGTAGACTACTTCATCTATTGAGTTACACAAATACTGATAAGACCTTTACCTATCCTGGGATTGCCTGATATTAAAGAAAATATTAATTGCCCTGGCCAGTTTGGCTCAGCGATTAGAGCATTGGCCTGCGGTCCAGAGAGACCCAGGTTTGGTTCCTGCTAAGGGCGTGTACCTCGGTTGCAGTTTGTCCCCGGCCCTGGTTGGGTTGTGCGGGTGGCAACCACTCAATGTGTCCCTTCACGTCGATGTTTCTTCTATATCTATCTCTCTCTGTCTTCTTCTCTCTCCCTCCCTCTCCCTCCCACTCTATCTGAACAAAACAAAAACAAAAACAAAAAAATGTCCTCGGGTGAAGATAAAAAAAAAAAGTATTAATTAATTGGTTGTGTTTTTAGAATGTTTCGTTTTCTTGAATTGTAATCATTTTATTTCTTCTTCTCCCCCACCCCTCTCTTTTTTCTGTTAATAGTTGGACAGAGAAACTCTGAAGATGTGAATGAAAGGGACTCAGATACAGAGATGGCTGCCAACTCGGAGGTCGTTCAAGACATCGCAAAGGATGGGCAGGAGGAAATGCCCGAAATAATTGAGCAAATCCCTTCTTCAGAAAGCAATTTAGAAGAGCTAACCCAGCCTGCTGAGTCCCAGACTAATGATGTTGGATTTAAGAAGGTGTTTAAGTTTGTTGGCTTTAAATTCACTGTGAAGAAAGATAAGAGCGAGAAGTCTGACACTGTCCAGCTACTCACTGTCAGAAAAGAGGAAGGTGAAGGAGCAGGAGAATCAGATGGGGCTGGTGACCACCAAGAGCCCAGCCGGGAGACTGGAGAAGCAACACCCAAAGAAAGTGAACTGAAACAGTCTACGGAGAAACCCGAGGAAACTCTGAAACACGAGCAGAGTGACACAGAAATTTCCCTTCAAGCCGAGTCTGGTCCAGCAGCAGAGGAAGGCAAAGATGGAGAAGAAAAACAAGAAAAGGAACCAGCCAAGTCCCCAGACTCGCCAACTAGTCCAGTGGCTAGTGAAACAGCATCACCCTTCAAAAAGTTCTTCACTCAAGGTTGGGCTGGCTGGCGCAAAAAGACCAGTTTCAGGAAGCCGAAGGAGGATGAACTGGAAGCTTCGGAGAAGAAAAAGGAACAGGAGCCAGAGAGAGTGGACACAGAAGAAAAGGAGAAGACAGACGATGCCGCCGAGAAGCTGGCTTCAGAACAAGCACAGCCACAGGAGACCACGGAGAGCATTAATGCAGCCAGATTATCGGCCGAATATGAAAAGGTGGAGCTGCCCGCTGAAGGTCAGCAGGCGTCTCCTGAAGACAGACCCGCCCCTCTGGCCACGGAGGTGTTTGATGAGAAAGTGGAGATCGTCGCAGAGGTCCACGTGAGCACGGCAGAGAGGGAAACGGAGGAGCAGGCAGCCGGGGCGCAGGGAACAGACGAGTCCTTGCCCGCTGACACCAGTGCGGAGCGTCAGGAGGCTGAACCTCCAGAAGAGCCCGGGAAGCCCCCGGCCGGGGCTGCCCCCGGAGGGGACCACAGCCAGCCTCCCGAACCCGGTCCTGCGGACACAGAGCTGCCTGCGCACCCTGAGGGCATCGTGAGCGAGGCGGAAATGCTGGCCTCCCAGGAGAGAGTTAAGGTGCAGGGGAGCCCTTTAAAGAAACTTTTTACGAGCACTGGCTTAAAAAAGCTTTCTGGAAAGAAACAGAAGGTGAAAAGAGGGGGAGGAGATGAAGAGTCGGGGGAAGCCCACGCAGTCCACGCGGACTCTCCAGACAGTGCAGATGAACAGAAGGGCGAGAGCTCGGCGTCGTCCCCGGAGGAGCCCGAGGAGATCACGTGTCTAGAGAAGGGGATAGCGGACGCCCATCAGGATGGGGATGTCGAAGAAGGAACTACTTCCGATGGAGAGAAAAAGAGAGAAGGTGTGACTCCTTGGGCATCTTTCAAAAAGATGGTGACGCCCAAGAAACGTGTTAGGAGGCTCTCGGAAAGTGACAAAGAAGACGAGCTGGATAAGGTGAAGAGCGCCACGCTGTCGTCCACGGAGAGTGCCGCCTCGGAGGTGCAAGAGGACGGGAGAGGACCCGGGGAAGAGCCGAAGCCGGAAGAACCGAAGCGCAAGGTGGACACCTCGGTGTCCTGGGAGGCTTTAATTTGTGTGGGGTCATCCAAGAAAAGAGCAAGAAAGGCATCCTCTTCCGATGAGGAGGGGGGACCAAAACCGACGGCAGGAGAAACCCAAAAGCCTGATGAAGCGGGAAAGGACAGAGGAGCTGGACCAGACGCTGTCCCTGCTGGCTCCCAGGAGCAAGACCAAGGGCAGGGAAGCTCCTCACCTGAGCAGGTGGGAAGCCCCTCGGAAGGGGAAGGCTTTTCCACCTGGGAGTCATTTAAAAGATTAGTCACCGCAAGGAAAAAATCGAAGTCAAAACTGGAAGAGAAAAACGAGGACTCCGTAGCGGGGGCCGGTGTAGAACATTCAGCAGCAGAGGTTGAACCCGGGAAAGAAGAGTCTTGGGTTTCAATTAAGAAATTTATTCCTGGACGAAGGAAGAAGAGGTCAGATGGGAAACAAGATGCGGCCACCATTGAAGACACAGGGCCGACTGAAGTCCACGAGGATGATCCCGATGTCCCGGCGGTGGTACCTCTGTCTGAGTACGACGCTGTGGAAAGGGAGAAGATGGAAGCACAGGAAGCCCAGAAAAGTGAGGAGAAGCTTGAGCAAAGGGTGGCGGTGTCTGTGTCGGAGGCAGTCAGTAAGAGCCTGGTTCATACGGTGACCGTGGCTGTCATTGATGGGGCGAGGGCCGTGACCAGTATCGAAGAGCGGTCGCCTTCTTGGATCTCCGCGTCTGCGACGGCACCTCTCGAGCAAGCAGAAGAGGAAGCCGAACCACCAGCTGGAGAGGTCTCGGAGAGAGAGGCCAGTGCAGAGGAAACCCTCGTGGTTCCCAAAACTCTGCCTGAGAGCCGGGATGCTGGTGACGACACGATCACCAGTGAGGTGGAATTAACTTCCGAAGCCGTGACAGCTGCAGAAACCACGGAGGCATCCGGGGCTGAAGAGACCACCGACATGGTTTCAGCTGTTTCCCAGTTAAGTGACTCTCCAGACACCACGGAGGAAGCAACGCCAGTGCAGGAGGTGGAGGGCGCTGTGCCAGCCCTGGAAGCCCAGGAGAGGCGAACGCAGGAGGTCCTGCAGGCGGTTGCAGAAAAAGTTAGAGGACAGTCCTGGCTGCCTGATGCCAGAGGACTGGAGGACACCGTGCAGGCAGCGTGGAGAATGCAGCCAAAACTGCCTGAGGTGGTGGAGGAAGCAGAAGAGGGCTCCCCCATGCCAGGGCTGGAGAAGGGGGTGGACATGGTGTTGAAAGGACACACAGAAGAAACGAAACCCGAGACATTGACACAAGGGAAGGTGACTGTACAGGCCACCCCAGAGCGCTTGGAAGAAGTTCCTCAAGTCACAGAGAGTGTAGAGTCCAGTGAGCTCATAAGCACCTGTCGAGCCGAAACCTTGGTTGGGGTAAAATCAGAAGTTATACTGGAACAGGCTGTTGCCCCTGACTCGGCGGAAAGTCTCTCAGACAGTGAGACCGGTGGCAGCATCCTGGCAGCAGAGTGTGACACTCTCCATGTCACCCAGCAGGGCGCGGGCATGGAAGTCCGTGCAGGTAAAGAGGTTGCGTCTGGCGCAGAGGCAGCTTCTGCACTGGAAGAGGTGCCCCCAGCACCGTCTGGGCACCAACCCCAGGAAGAGAGTCAAGACCGCTCCGAAACGGAAGAGGTTCGAGAACATACGGATGAAGAGGTGTCAGTGGAGACTGGACCCGTTCCCTCAAAGACTGGGGTGAGTCAAGAGGCTGGACGGTGTGCCGAGGAGGGAGCCAAAGACGCACCACTTGTCGACAGACTTGAAGTGTCTGCAGACACAGAAATAACAGCCAGTCAGAAAAAGATCATTGAAGGTGCCCTGAAAGATGAGGTTTCTGAAGAAGCTGAACTTCCAAAGAAGGATGATCCTGAACTCCAGAGCCCTCCTCCGGCTCCTCCAGCCCCCGCGGAGGGAGAGACGGTGGCGCAGGTGGAAAGGGAGGAAGTGGAGGCCCAGCCAGCCCAGGCCAGTAACGAGAAACACGAGCCTAAACCAGGTGACGTGCTCAGTAAGCAGCTGGTCCAGGCAGTTCACATGACCGTCGTGCACGGGGAGAAGGAAGTGATCGGACTTGAAGAAAGTGCTCCTTGGCTACTTCAAGAGGGAGCGGTCTGCACAGACCTTCAGCTTCCAAGCTCGGAGGCATCGGTCCCGCTAACGGCCGCAGCAGTGGAGGAGAAGGTCTTGGGAGAAACTGCCAAGCTTGTAGAAACCGCGGGACCTCTGGAGTCTGCAGATGTGCATTTGGAACCGGGAGAAAAGCCCTCTGGAGAAGACGCGGTGCCCACAGGGACTGGGTCTCAGGCAGAATCAGCGCCAGTAATGGTATCTGCTACCCCTGAAAAAGGCATCGGTGCCGACCTGGAAGGGGATACAACCACATTGCAGAGAGGGCAGTCAGAAGACTACAAGCAGGTTAGCTGGCAGGAAGTCAGAGTGAGTGAGACGAGAGAGGAGGATTTAAAGGCTGAAAATGAGATTTTGCAACTTAAGACTGAGAGCCGTAAACTTGTACAAAACGTAATTCAGACAGCCGTTGACAAGTTAGTAAGTGCAGAAGAAACAGCCACTGATTGCCAGCCACTGGCCCAGCTCATAAAAGCTGACAATCAGGAAGCTGAATGGAAAATTGAAAAAGAAGAAGGGGAACGTCAGGTCTCTGCAGAGGATGAAACACAAACTACCACGGCCAAAGAACAGTCCGCACTGACCACTGGGGAACAAACGCGCTCAGATGTTTCCAAAGACGTAGATGCAGCTTCCGAAGAGATCATGACCGTTGAGGTCAAAGGCTCCAGTGTAAATGACCAGCAGCCTGAAGAAGGAATTCTCCCAAACCAGGAAAAGAGAGAAGCAACTGGAACAAAGTCTGTGCTGGAAGGTGGTGATGGTGCTGGGTTAGGAGAAAGAACAGAGAAGCCTCTGTCTGAACCCCAAGAAGATGAAAACGGTGATGCTGTCGATTGCCCTGAGAACCAGACCTCAGCCCTGGAAGATGCTGAGGCCTCGGGAGGCTTAACCAAAGAGTCCCCAGATGCAAATGGACCAAAACTAAAAGAGAAGGAAGTGGAATTTCAGGAAGGAAAAGGGCAGAGTGAGTCAGAAAAAGAGATCAAAACAAAAACAGAGGAGACACAGGAACAAGAAAGACAGCCAGCAACACCAGAACTTGCGGAATCCTAAAAAGTCATGTAAGCTAGTGTCCTTCTCTTCTAAGATATGTTTTTCCTCTTTAATACCATTGATGGCAAATTTATTATAAAGGGAGCAGCAGTTCAAATAATTACAATTTTATGCAGAACCTGCCATCGGGGAAATAACCAGAGTAGGAGATTTGGGTCAGTTTCTTTTTTCATTCTCATTGAAATGCCATTCAGTCATATTGGTGTCATGAAAATAATGGTCACATTTTATCCCCAACGTGACTGCTTTCAAAGAAAATAAAGGCTCAAGTGTGTGTGCACAAGTGTATGTCAGTGTATGTGTTTGGCCAAAGGCCTAAGACATATGTTGTGCTCACTCAGCCCCATACCAACTAGCCTATTGGATTTTTTTTATGACTAAAAGCCCAAAGTAGGTTTATATTATACTGCTTGAAATTTACTTTATAGCGCCCTGGCCAGTTTGGCTCAGCGGTTAGAGCATCGGCCTGCGGTCCGGAGAGACCCGGGTTCGGTTCCCGCTAAGGGCATGTACCTTGGTTGCAGTTTGTCCCCGGCCCTGGTTGGTCGTGCGGGTGGCAGCCACTCGATGTGTCCCTTCACGTCGATGTTTCTCACTCTCTCTCTTCCTCTCTCTCCCTCCCATTCTATCTGTACAAAAAATGGAAAAAATATCCTCAGGTGAGGATAAAAAAAAAAAAAAAGAAATTTACTTTATAGCTCTCTAGAAGAAAAATGAGTTTTTTCCAGCAGTAGTAATAAACATTTTTTTTAAAAGATTTTTAAATTGATTTTTAGAGAGAAGAAGGGAGAGGAAGAGAGACACATTGATGTGTGAGAGTGAATCATTGATCAGTTGCCTCCAGCACCCCCCGCCCTGGAATCAAGCCCACAACCCAGGCATGTACTCTGACCAGGAATTGAACCTGCAACCTTTTGGTGCATGGGACGATGCCCAACCAGCTGATGCACACTGGCCAGGGTGATAAGAGACATTAAAACAAAGTCCAATGTGCCCTGGCCAGTTTGGCTCGGCGGTTGGAGCTTCAACCTGCGGTCCAGAGAGACCCGGGTTTGGTTCCCCCTGAGGGCATGTACCTCAGTTGCGGTTTGTCCCTGGCCCTGGTTGGTCGTGCGGGTGGCAGCCACTCGATGTGTCCCTTTCACATCGATGTTTCTCTCTCTTCCTCTCTTTCCCTCCCACTCTGTGTGAACACAAAATGGAAAAATGTCCTCGGGTGAGGATAAAAAATAAATAAAAAGTCCATTGCATGTGATGAGCCTGACTGTGTTAGGGAACCACAGACATTGGTTTTGAGGTCATACAGCATAATAGGTTGCAGACTCGCACCCTCTTGCTTTCTTATAAAATTAAACGATGGGATTAGGGTCTCCAGAGACTGCTGCTCACCTTTACAGCTAGTCCTGTGGTTAAATAAATGAAGGAGGAAGAGGAGGTTTTATTTACTTCTGAATTTTTCTTTCTCCTATAGTTACACGCGTGTATTTGCAAGACCAGAATGTGAAGACAAGTGGTGGAAGACAATGAACGCTACTGAAGAGACTCAAGACCAGTGTTTCAGAACTTTGAGATCTGAACAACAGACCCATCAACCGATCTCATTTCTAGAGAACCCCGACAATCCTGAGGCTTCCTCGGGAGCTAGAACAGTTCACATTTCCTCTTTCCAGGATCACCTGTCAGTTCCCCTTGAAACCATGTCACGTTTCTCATTTAAGGTCCTGAATTCTTAACCTGGAACTGGAGTTGGCAATACCTAATTCCACTCCACAAACTGGAGTTATCATTATGTATTTATGTGTGTGTTTTAAGTAATCCTCCTGTCTCTATTGTATATTTTTTCTTACTGTTTAAGGAAATGTGTGGTATAGTACATTTCTGCTGTATCACAGTCTGTGACGGGGCCTCGGCCATGGTGAAGTCTTGGAAGCTGTGAAAACAGCTCCCTAGAAATAACATTCCTGATCAGAAGCTACAGTTCTTACTTTAAAATCCACTAAGGATTAGGTCTGTGTTTAGTATTACTCTGACATTGAAAGTGGTCACTTTCTTATTATGCACAATGTGCTAAAAATACAACCTTTTTTTTTTGAAACATACAGAATGTTCCATTGTTACTGTGAAATTTTTCTTTGTAGCCCAATGGAGGCTGGAATTTTTTTTTTTTTTTTTTTTCAGTAGCCAATTAACTTTAAGTCTTTTCTCCTAATTGTTATGCTTGTTTGGCCAGATTTGTGCTTAATCCCGAGGCAAAGTAGTGAAATGTTTTTCAGGTTATCCAGGAAAGAATGGACTGTTTTTAAACTTTTGGTTCTTCCCTTATGTGCTGGACCACATTCACACACAGCATGAAGTAAGTAAGGTTCTTTACAAGTGGTATTTTGATAGATGCTGGACTGTGTCTGTGGTATATGTGCCCACTCGTTTAAGAACAATGTTGCATTATGTTCATTTGGATAAATTGTGATTTGACAACCCATTTAAATAAAATACTTGCTTCATTTAGATTTGCTGGTTTTATTAGATACTAGGAAGCCTGGGCCATATGTTTACTGCGTTCTAAAAGCAGAATAAGCTAGAACTTTCTAGTGTAGTTTCTATATGATATGACCACTTTTTACCGCTTTGAGTTGATATTCAGAGAAAGTCATAGCAGACAGGTATCTGCCAAAATGAACCAGGAGCTTTTCAGATGGACAGTACTGACACAATACTACCATCTGGTGGTATCTTCCTGAAAAGGTCCATTTTCTGCGTTAATATTTGTTAACGACTAATGTTTCTAGAAAGTATTTTTAAGAAGGCATAATAATAAAAATGCCTTGCCTAACAGATGACCTTAGACATTTTTTAATGTTAAAATGATTTATGATTCTTGCTAATATATAAAGGATTCTGTCAAACAATTGCCACACAAAGAATAGTCACTTACCTGTTGTAAAATTCCATTCGGTCTGGCATATATACTTCTTAATCTGAAACTCAGTACTCCAGTTTGAGCACTTAATTTCACTCAGCTGCCAATTAATAATTTTAAAGCATAACATTCTAGAAAGACTAGCCTTTCAACAGAAAGCACATTTGCTATTAAAACTGGAGAGCAGTTTCTCTACCAACACCCCTGACTACCATAAAAAACTGGCTGCGGTAGAAAGACAACAGCCTACAGCTTTGTAGCGGGGAAGCGTTGAATATCCTTGTAGGAGTTACACTCGTGGGTAATAACCACCTGTGCTTGCTTATTCAACATTAAAAATCCCCAAATTAAAAACAAAAACAACCCTCTGATCTAAATAGCTTCTTTTGCCAACTTGGGATTTTAAAAAAAATGCTAGTATCAAATTTTGGAAGATCAACTGAAAAGTATTGGAGATGACAGAGTTCACGGTAGCTCTAATATTAACTTGCCCTCCTCTCTAAATGGCAGGAAGAAACTGCTATTTTGAGCAGATTAAAGATTTGTGTAGTTTGTAGTCAACAGATTTTTCTTTATCCCTCTCCCTCGTTTAAATTCCATCCTGCCACTCCATCCCATTTATATTGACATGTGGCCAACCGGGTCAGCACCACTGGCCGTCACGACTGTGCTGCTCATGCTCATGTCTGGAGGTAGCCCGGGTTACGTCTGTGCGAGCTCGGCCTCTGTCCATGAAGCTACGTTGTTTTCTTAACAAGAGGAATGCTGTTAACAGTAGCAGGAAGTATTACAGTTCTGTATTACAGTTCTAAAGCTGCTGTTCCTCTGTGAAATTCATAATAATCATGTCAACTGCAGAAATTGGAGCAAGTGCCTAAATTTTGCTATTTTTGGCATTAACTATGGAACCATGTACAATGGAAAGCAATGCAAGACTTACAAACTCTCGCCACTTCTTGTAACTGAGGACTATAAAATGTGCCCCTTCAGGTTCTTTTGTTAATGATACACACAAGCTGCCTCTCTCTGTACACGTGTACTTTGTTTCAAAAATTTCCTTTGCTGTTTGGAGCTACAGATAGTCAAGGGCTGGACATTTTAGCTTTCGGTGTGAGCTTCAAGCCTAGCCGTTTTCTTTGACCTGAGACAATGTTTGATTCCTAGTTCTGTTTGGGGGCAAATTTTCATTTATCTAAATAAAATGCAACGTAAATAAAGGCCATGGATTTTCTTTCTGTAATTTCACCTTAATTCAGTTTGGATTGCTTCTTTCTTTCCTGTTGTGATATTCGTCACACATTTAACTTCTGTTTTTAACTGCTTAGCCGTCCCTCTTTGACACTACGCACAGAGCAGGGCGGGAGTTTGGAATGTAGCACAAGACTCTCGTTCGGTGATTCTTAACCTTTTTGGGTCAGGGGCCTCTTTAATTGGAATCTTACTAAACCTCTGGCTGAGCTCCCAAACCCAAAAATGAACACAATGTTATGTGCAGTTTTTGGATAGTCACAGACCTTCTCTGAAACCCCAACCAACAACCAGCACTCGAGTTAAACCTCTTGTCCAACCCGACAAGAAAGGAAGTGGACACAGTCCAAGGATTCCAGGTAGTAAGAAGATGAAACCTGAAAACAACCAACGTCTGGTAAATTCAAGTCTACACGACTGTTCATTTCCAATGTGGTTCTGGAAATGGATCTGATCTGCTGGACAACCTTGCATTTTTGTGTAAATGCTAGTTTCTCCTCACCACCAAATTCCCTACCATCTCCAGCCTAGATCACTGTAATTAGGCAAATGACCTGGGTGCAGCCTGAGTGGCTCATTTGGCTGAGTGTAGTCCTGTGCACTGACGGGTTGCCGGCTTGATTACTGATGGATGTTTCTCTCTCACATCGATGTTTCTTTCTCTCTCCCTCTCTCCTAAGCATACCCTTGGGTGAGGATTAGAAAATGAGCCCTGGCAAGCCTGGTCAGTGGTTGGAGTGTTGGCCTGTGGACTGAAGGGTCTTGGGTTTGGTTCCCAGTCAAGGGCGCGCACCTGGGTTGCAGGTTTAATTCTGGCCCCAGTAGGGGTCGTGTGGGAGGCAACTAATTGATGTGTCTTTCTCACATGGATGTTTCTCTCTCTTCCCTTCCCCTCCCTCCCTTCCACTCTGTCTAAAAATCAGTGGAAAAATATCCTCAAGTGAGAATTAATAAAAATAAATAAAATGATCTGGGGCCTACTTTTATATAAAGAAGAAAGTTGAAATTTAGATCTCCTGCTCTTAAGTGGTAACACAGGTTTTGGCTAAGGTGGCCAGGACTTGGAGATGGCATGGTGGTGAAGAGAATGAAGATAATCATGATTTTTTTTCTTTCAATGTTGTCACAGCTTAGAAATTAAACCCATTTCTTCTTATTTTTTTTTCTCCTTTTTAAAAAATCCTTACTGAGCCCTGGCCGGTTTGGCTCAGCGGTTAGAGCGTCGGCCTACGGTCCAGAGAGACGCGGGTTCGGTTCCCGCTAAGGGCACGTACCTCGGTTGCAGTTTGTCTCCAGCCCTGGTTGGGTCGTGCGGTGGCAGCCACTCGATGTGTCCCTTTCACGTCGATGTTTCTCTCTCTCTCTTCCTCTCTCTCCCTCCCACTCTATCTGAACAAAAAATGGAAAAAAATGTCCTCGGGTGAGGATAAAAAAATTTTTTTAAATAAAAAATTCTTACTGAGCATATGTTTTTATTGATTTTAGAGAGAGCAGAAAGGGAAGAGAGACATCGATGTGAAAAATATTGATCATATGCCTCCCACACGCGCCCTGACTGGGAATCAAATCCGAGACCTTTTGGTGTACGGGATGATGCTCCAACCAACCGAGTTACCTGGCCGGGGTGACACCCATTTCTTGAGATCAAAATAGTACTGCCATCTTTACATTGTTCTACTTTCTAACCTCATCACTGCATGCTCTCCCATTGCTTGTTGTTAGAATCTGCAACACCAGAGAAGTGTTACATCTGACCTCTTGAGAGAAATTTCACTATAACACTCGTATTTGGAGACCAGGGGTAGAGTAACAGTTCCTGAATGGTGAAGTAAGGACCCAGTGTGTTATTTCCCTACAACAGGATGTTAAAGCCTAGTTCTAACTCAACCCTGTGCTTTTCCTTCTACCGAACCCGGGACTCTCTGGTCCGCAGGCTGACGCTCCAACCGCTGAGCCAAACTGGCCGGGGCCTTCTAAACCAAATAATGTGGTGGAATTAATGAGCACAGAGACAATCCTATAAATGAGGCTAATTTAAAAACCACATTGTGCTTGATCCTGTTTGTCTCTGTTAGCCTTAAGAGCTCACCTAATTCCTGGACAAGCAGGTGGGGTTGCCTCTGGAACTTGAAACTTGAACACAATTAGGGTTCTTTTTAAAGACTTCACAGGAAAGGCACTACACGGTTGGCCAGCAGGCTATTTCAAGGAATGACAATAATCCTAAGAAGTCATTAAAATAGCTTAGCAGGGCCCTGGCCAGTTTGGCTCAGTGGTTAGAGCGTCAGCCCACATACCAAAGAGTGCAGGTTCAATTCTGGCCAAGGGCACGTACCTCGGTTGCGGTTTGTCACCACACCTGGTTGGGGTCATGCGGGAGGCAACCAGTTGATGTGTCTCCCTGATATCAATGTTTCTCTGTTTCTTTCTCTCTCTTTCTCTGTCTATCTCTCTGTCTCTCTGTCTCTCTTCCTCCTCCCACTCTATCTGAAGATAAGCAAAAAAATAGTCTGGGGTGAGGATTAAAAATAAACAGAAATAAAATAGTTTAGCAGGGAAATGATGCTATCTATTGTATGCTAGTGACTCCCAAGGCAGTGTTGGGGGGTCATGAGTTTTTTGTCATCACAATGGCTAGGGTGTTACTAGAATTTAATGAATGGAGGTCACAGGTGCTTGTGACCCTGCAAGGCCCAAGACAGCCCTTCTAAAGAAAGGATTTTCTATCTTAAATTACAGTGGAGGTAGAGAATGTCTTCTAGCTTTCACTGACTCAAAGGCTGGAGGCAGGAGAGTAGCTAACATGTTGTTATAATAATCCAGACAAGAGCTGATAAAGGCCTATATTATAGTAGTGGCAGTATGGCTGGTGCGATGTGGGTGAGATCAAGAGATAATGGGAGGTGTAATGTGATGGGAAAAGTGGGTGAAGGAAGTTTCTGGATTGCCAACCTAGACAGAGTCATGTACTGATACGGGTGGGGGCGGTGAGATCATATTAGTTTTGGAAATGTTCCATTTGAGAGACTGCTGGGATTTCCAAGGATAAATGCAGAATGGGCAGCTGGACAGATGGGTCTTATCACCAGAAAAGAGTCCAGGACAGACAGACATCAGGGGCTCCTCTGTGCTCCCTATGCCCCGGAGACAGAGGGGAAAATAACCCACACAGATCCTTAAGCAACGTTGCGGAAGATCTCACGCACAGACACGCGCACAGACAGGGACAGGAGCGCCAGAGCTCACTTACCCGGCACAGCAGTCTCCGTTCAGACGTCCGACCAAGCCCTTCCTAGATGCTTCCTGTGTGAAGTGCTCTACAAACCAGAAAGCAAAATGCCCCATGATGCGTCAATATTAGCAAATAAGGGAAGAGAAACTTGAATAAAATAGTCCACCTGAAGCAACGTTGTACCTGCCGATGACTGTTCTGTCTTTGATTATTTTGGCGGATTCAGACTACTTAGAGAGGCCACATCCACTCTGTGCCATCTGCGTGTCTTTTCCCTCCTCCTCTCCCTGGTGCCTTTTCGGTATCTGTGGCTGGAACACTTGAAGGAGGGGCAGCACAGGGCGGGGCTCGGGTCGGGAGTGGCCGCCTGCAGCCACAGACCTTGCTGGGTGAAGGCTCAGGTTCTCTCGGGCTGGCTGCCTTCTGGTCTTGTCTGCTTGGGGGCATCTCTAACTGAAAAGATAAAATAATTCTTTAGTCCAAAAGAATTTAAAAAATATAAAAATAGCACGGCCGGTGTGGCTCAGTGGTTAAGCATCGACCCATGTGCAAAGAGGTCATCGGTTTGATTCCTGGTCAGGGCACATGCCCAGGTTGTGGGCCAAATCCCCAGTGGGGGCATGCAGGAGGCAGTCAGTGGATGTTCTCTCTCATTGATGTTTCTCTCTCTTGCTTCCTCTCTAAAAATCAATAAACACACACACACACATATACATACATATACATATATATATATTTATATATATTTATAAATTTAACAACTGCTAAGGACTTTTGAGGTGGTGTTTGGTAGCAGGAAGAGCCCTGGATTGGGAGAGCTGAGCTCTGGAGTGACCGACCACTAAGTAGCCATATGACCTTGGCCAATGGCCTAACACCATTTATATATCAGTGTTATTTTGTCTCCTCATCCTGACCCTCCTCTCTTATAGTAAGGAAGCCCATCTAGGTGGCGTTCTCAAAAACGATGTAGGGTATTCTGTGACTTTCCTGTGCTCACAGGGTAACAAGGGCATTTGGAATGAGAACAGGGAGGTTTAGAATGACTCCCAGGGCTCTCAGACATGCACCTGTTAAGAGCTCGCGCACTACTCTGTACATTGCACACATCTCATTAAGGAGCACCTTGCTTCTAGTCAAGAAGCATGCTAGGAACCGCACAGATCCCTCTCTGGCCTATTACCTCCCCTGGTTATTGTAAGTCTGCGAAGAAAGTGGAACCAATGAAGGACAGTGATACTATAGCAGCAATTATACAGTGGCTACTGGCGTCATCATCTCATTGTCGTCATCCTTTCGGGAACCTGTGCCCACCCTGGACTGACAAGAGTTACACGCTCTCGGGCGGGGCCTGTAATGTTTTATCAAGGCCTCCAGGAGATTCTGTTGTGCAGTTTTAGGACCACTGTAGTAGTATGAGACTATAAAAAGGATTTATGTTAATTGCCTCGATGACAGAATAGGTTAACAGTTGAAAAAGCCCCCACTCCAAACACATGCCACCCTCCCCACCCATCCGCCTAAGTGCCTGTATCTTTTTAAAAAAATATGTTTTTATTGATTTTTTAGAGAGCGAGGAAGGGAGAGATAGAAACATCGATTGGCTGCCTCCCTCACGCCCCCTACTGGAGCTCAAGCCCGCAAACTGGGCATGTGCCCTGACCGGGAATCAACCCAGGCTCAGTCCAGGGGACAATGCTCAATCCACTGAGCCACACCAGTTGGGCTGCCTGTATCTTTTATTTATTTATTTCTTTATCCTCACCCGAGGACATTTTTTCCCCATTTTTTTGTTCAGATAGAGTGGGAGGGAGAGAGAGGAAGAGAGAAAGAGAAACATTGATGTGAAAGGGACACATCGACTGGCTGCCTCCTGCATAACCCTGACCAGCACCGGGGACCAAACCACAACCAAGGTACGTGCCCTTGACCGGAATCGACTCTTTAGTCCTTGGGCCAATGCTCTAACCACTGAGCAAAACTGGCCAGGGCTGCCTGTATCTTTTTGAACACAGCAATGTGGTACTTTACCTGAAACACGTGACTGAACCCTGACATATTGAACTGCACGGTTCATTCTGAACACCTCTGCATTTCCTTTCTCACAAGGTGAAATTACAAAAAACAGTAGCGGCCAGTTCCCATGACTTTAACAAGGCGGCTTGGGGTCCTCCCTACTCTACATTTTTGTATCATTATCCAAAGATGCATTATCAGTGTTATTGAAAAATAATTGACAGATACTTTTTAATGGTAGTAATTTCTTCCCATTAAAGCTGTATTTCCTACAGTAAAATAAAATTCTACGGTACTTTACAAAACCCATTTAGCAACATTTGTTGAACGAGTGAGTCATTTTTTATTGTTTCCCCTGTGAAAAGCGAAGCCACAGACCCCGCAGCAGCAATAAGGGCTAGAACGACAGCGCAGGTGAATTCCGAAGCGTCGGTGTTTGTTCATACCATCCACTGAAATTTCCAAAGCGTTAGTTAATTGGTACCATCAGAGACTCAGAACATATTGTTAAATGTATAACCTCTTGGAGTTAATTAAATAGGCCCGAAGCAATCCATGGTAGGGGGGTGGGCTTCCTCATCTGTACCCAGCTGTTTTCGGAGGCACTGGCGTTGTGCAGGACAGTCATAGTGGAAGTGGCCGAGTGCTGGCACTGAGCCCCTGCACCCCACGTATAATGAGTAGCTGAACACAATGCCTGTCCCTCCCCTCCACCAAGTTGCTGGAGCTGAACGGGGCTGGCTGGCATCTTGCCCTTACCCCTCTCTCCTCACCTACCAGACCTCGTGATCCCCACCACTTCCTAGTCTTAAGACCCTGACTTTTTGGCTGCACCCTCATCCCTTCGAGGCAGCCTGCGGGGGGTGTGGAGGGCCGTGGAGGCTGCCCCCATTTCCCCTTTCATTGGTATTCAGAGAACCAAGTTGACACGAGACTCTCAAGTTAGATGTGAATATAGTTTTTTCTTTTCTAAAGAAATCAGTGGAAACCAGTCGATATGTAACAATCTAGGTCCATGGCGCATGAATGTGTGTCACCTTTAGGCAAACACTCCTTGGCCTCTTTTTCTTCCTCGTAAAAGAAAGTTGGGTTAACACCATGTCCAGACCCATTCCTGGCCAAACTCTGACTGTTTATAAGCATCTTCATTAGAGTTTACTCATTTGAATCTCACAATATTGTCACACAATGCAGTTATCAATATCTTCATTTTACAAAAGTGGAAAATGACATTCACGTCAGGAAATCACCCCAAGTTTGCAGACAGAGGAGATAGAGCAGAAAGGGGCTCCTTGGGCAATGCCCTCAGCTGCCCCTCTGTATATTTTTGGGTTGACAAAGTAATACACAGATAAAATTATATTCCCATTTAATTAAAGGTTTATTCAATGAAAGTATGTATAAAAACTTACAAATCTTAGAACTCAACGATACATGAAATAGGATGACGGGCTAGTCAGTTTTAACATATACGTACAGCACGGCTAGTAACTGTCCTCCCCTCTCCCCTTCGGTCCTTATTTCTGGCTTCTGTTTTGTCCTGCGAGACCATTATATCATTGGCCTGAGGAAAGATTAATGGACCAATTTTACTGTTTTCAGGCCAACAGAGGAAATTTCAGGTGTTAAAAACAAAACTGGAGACTAAATATCAAAGCCACGTTTTTTCCCCCCCAAACAGCAATTAGGTTTTCTTGGTCCTGATTTCTCTTTGCCATTTTTGATGTTTCAATGAATGTTGCCAGTAAACTATTTGCATTAATTTAAAAAACCATTAAAGCTACCACATGTTCTGCTCACAGCTTCCCCGATAAGATCCTGTATCTCTTTTCCTGTAGTAGACACACTAATTTAAAAGCAGCAGGTTGGTGCTAAAATAAACTTACCACTGGCAACTGCTAGAACGGCATGTCAATGTTGTTCAGAAAGACCATCTATAGAATAGTACTGTCAAATCTGATTTTTAAAACCAATTAATTTATCAAAAACGAAAATACAGTGTTTTGTTGTTCAACTTTGAAAGAAACCAGCCATTAGATAAGGCATGTGCATCGGTTCACCTGTTTGTAGCAAGTATCCGCACGTTTTCTCTTACAAACACACAAACTCACAGCTTGTCATGTTTTATCCAAAAATTAAGATTGCCATCACATTATTACTTTTGCTCTGCATTTTGTTCAAGTAGGTTTCTTAACTAATAATTTTTCTTGACTGGACATAATCTCAAAGAACGCATTCTGAACCGAGACACCTGGGGGTAAATAGTAAGAACATTCTCTGGGGTTTAAGGTTTTCCACACCAAGATTTTGCATAGTAAAGAACCCAGCTGTGTCTCTAAGAAGCATGCTGTATTTTCTGACATTGTTTTTCTGAGAAGGAAGACACTACCCAGGGAAGGTCATAATTTTAGCTTACCAAATTGCATTCTGGTTGTTTGGTTTTGTTATATACCCTTCATTAGTTCCAAGTATGCTTTTAAATAATCTAAAACTCAAAATCCACTTGAGTTTATAAGTACTACTGGCTGTTATCTTTCCGATATCCCCTGAATGAAAGTAAATGTTCCAGGTTTATAATGCACAAAGCCTTTGCGGAGGAGGGGCTGGGACGGTGGGAAGGGAGAGGAGAAAGGGACCAGGGACTTGTTTGTATCATGCCATGGAGAACTCTAGTTCTGAACTGGGAAAGGGAAGGAAGACAGTCTTTGTAAAAATGACAGTTTTAAAAAGATAAGTAACATTCAGTCCAACAACACAGCTTCCTGTTCCTTTTTAATGCTTGCTAACACGGGGTGGTCGGGTTCCGTCACTTCAGAGTCCCCACTGCCCAGGAGAATGGACCGCCCTTCGTCCAGGGCAAAGACATCCGAGTTCTGGTTTTGGCAGGAGTGTTTAACAACCTCGCTGGGAGTCGAGAACGTTTTGTCACACAGGTTGCATTTGTAGGGCTTGTTCGTTTGTACCAACATGTTGTCCATCTGGCTCCCTTCCTCGAATGTGCACAGCTCCAGGGTCTGTTTGTCCACCATGGTGTACGTGTCAATGCTCTGGTTGAGGCACACGTGCCGGGCAGCCTGGTTGGCCCTGCAAAAGCTCTTGTCGCAAGTGCTGCACTTGAAAGGCTTCCCGGTGTGTATGTACATGTGCTCCCTCCAGTGGCTCTTCTGAATGAATTTGCGTCCACAGATCGTACACTCGTACTTGCGCCTCTTGACCTCCCTCTCCTGGTCCGCCTGCTCCAAGTTGTCAATGTCCGCGATGTCCGAGGGCGGCGGCGTCTCCGAGTGCTGCTGGCCGTCGATGATGGGAGAGTCTGAGATGTGCTGCAGCTCACTGTCGCTTATCATCCCAGCCTCAGGCACTTCCATGGTGTCTTTTCCCAGGTCCGCTGCGTTGCTGCAAAGAGACAGGGGCACGCGGCCTTCTCCAGGCTGGCTTGCGGTGAAGGGGACCCCGGTGTGAATCTGCAGGTGTTCCCGCAGACTGCTCCGGAGGGTGAAGCGCCGCCCGCACAGGTGGCAGGCGTAGTACTTTGGGAAGCTGCCATTCCTCTTCATGATGCTCGGCTTGACGTGGGCGATGGTGAGGGATGCGGGCTGCTCGTCAGAGGAAGAGGCCTCCAGATTGGTCTCCTCCCCGGGAGCAGCGGGAGGAACAGGAGTGGAGACGAGTTCTGGAGACAGAGAGGTCTGCAGGGGGTCTGAGGGAGTCATATGTGTCCGATTCACCTGGGTCAGATTTGAAGTCAGCTGAGAGAGCTGTGCGGCTTCGGGCACCTGCTCCTGGCTCATCCTGGAGGTCTGGGGCCGTGGTTCTCGCCCAAGTTTTTCAGGCGCTGAAGCAATCTTGGTGGCTTGTCTCAACTGATGATCTGCAATCTGAATGCCATACAAGGAAGAAGCCAGCGGGAAAACTTGGTCAGGGTGAGAAAAGGCTCCTTGGCTGGCCAGGCTAGCTTCCTGGATCAGAGGGTAAGCATGCAGAAACTTGATCCCCTGTTCTAAGCGAACCGGGTCAATCAGCTGAGGTGCCATCTTTCCAGTGTACATCAAATGTAAGAGATAGCTGAAAATATCGGGCTGTATGTCGGTTGGTTTCAAACGAACACATTCACTGAAAGAAACAAGTAAAAAGTCTATAAGTCAATGTCAATGATGGTCTCACATGATAATATCAAGCCTGAAGGAAAAACAAGCACTTTTAAGAATAAAACAAGATTCCCATTTCTTACTGTAAGTTTCATGAAATGGAATGGAATACTCCAGAAGATAATGGGAATCTATATAATTTAATGTTAATTATATTAAGACTAGAGAGAAATACAATAAATATATTTTAAAGGGCTGAGAAAGGAAAAGTTCATGTTCAGTGTGATACCCTAACCCATATACTCTTGAAGCAGTTGTTCTCCTAGTAATTTATGTAAAATTGCATTGCACCTAGTTTCATGGAGAGGATCCATTGCTTTCCATCAGTATGAGTGGCCTGAGACCCAGTAATGGTTAGGAACCACTGACCTGGCAGATCTTTTGGCTAAAGGTCTAGAATTCTGTATTGATCCAATGCCATCCAGAGCTCAGCAGGAGATCTTTTAAAGTAAGTCAAACAATCTACCTTATTAAAAAAGTTTCTTTATTTGTAAAATGACATGGGGAGCTTGACTAGCATGAACAAATGCCTAAGAGCAAGACAAAGCCCAGTTGGTTCTGTGTTCTGCAACTCTCTGATCTGTGCCCAGCATGATGTGGAAACGCTGCAGAGATGGGAACCGAAGGCCAGCCAGGTTCCAGCTCTAGCGCAGTCGGATCACCTGCCCAGCACTGCTCAGAAGTAGTTCTGGGCCCAGGCTGGGGGAGCTCAGTTCATTAGAGTGTCATCCCGATACGCCAAAGATTCGGGTTCGATCCCCGGCCAGGGCACATACAAGGTCAACCAATGCATGCATAAATAAATGGAAAACAAATTGATGTTTCTCTCTAAAAAAATCAATTTTAAAAAAGTGGTTGGGGGACAACTCAGTTTCTTATCAAATGCTATCATCATCATCTTAATTGCTGCTGGGCTTTCTAGGCATTACCTCACTTAACTGCCACTCATTTCTCATATTACAGACCAGCGACTGAGGCTCAAAGGGATTCATACCTTGCTCAATATCACAAAGTTAGTAAGTGGTAGAATAGGGATTTAAATCTGAGTCTAATTCCAAAGTCTTGACACTAAGATTCTCTAGAGCATTATAACAATCCTGTGCAGTAAATGAGGCAGATTTTTTTTTTTTTTAATCCTCAACCAAGGACATTTTTCCATTTTTTGTTCAGGTAGAGTGGGAGGGAGAGAGAGGAACAGAGAGAGAGAAATATCGATGTGAAGGGACACATCAAGTGGTTGCCACCCGCACAACCGACCAGGGCCAGGGACAAACTGCAACTGAGGTACGTGCCCTTAGCGGGAACCGAACCCGGGTCTCTCAGGACTGCAGGCCGACGCTCTAACTGCTGAGCCAAACCGGCCAGGGCAATGAGGCTGATTTGATTACAGTGATACCTCGGTTCTTGAACATAATTCGTTCCAGGAGGACGGTCGAGAACCAAATTGTTCGAGAACCGAAGCAATGAAACCCAATAGGAAATAACGGAAACTGGATTAATTCGTTCCAAGCCCCAGAAAATGCCTATTTACTGGCCTAATTTGTATATAATATGTAGAAAAACATAAGTCTCAACAAGAAATAAAAGTGTACAGTATGTCTAAGGGTTAAATTCAGTGTAAAGCGTGACTCTCTCCACAAAGCGTGACTCTCTCTCTGCACTCACACTGAGGACGCAAGCAAGGCGCGCTGGGCCGAATGAACGCCATTCGGCTCAACTCGGCTCATCTCGGAAGTTCGAGTTCCAAATATTTGTTCGGATTCCAAGACAAAAGTTTCTCGAATCTCCTGGTCGAATACCGATTTGGTCGAAATCCGAGGCGTTCGAGAACCGAGGTATCACTGTACTCCCATTTGACAGACATGGAAACTAAGATTCCAAAAAGTTAACTGATCTATTGAAGGCACCTACAGCAGATGTGCTATTGTTGATTTTCTAACTCTTAGACTGTAGTTTGCATCATCCCAGAAAAGGTATCCTGATTCAAGCAGCGACAATCAAGAGGTCCCCAAGGGCTCTTGCTGGACCTTCAGCAATGACAGAAGTTACACTGCATCATTGGAAATCAATCAGAGCCCTGGCTGGTTTGGCTCAGCGGTTAGAGCGTTGGCCTGCGGTCCAGAGAGACCCGGGTTTGGTTCCCGCTAAGGGCATGTACCCTGGTTGCAGTCTGTCCCTGGCCCTGGATGGGTCGTGCGGTTGGCAACCACTCGATGTGTCCCTTTCATGTCGATGTTTCTCTCTCTCTCTTCCTCCCACTGTATCTGAACAAAAAAATGGAAAAATGTCTTCGGGTGAGGATAAAAAAAAAAATCTATCAGATATAGCTTTATATCTTTTGGGGCACGTGCTATCATCCACTGAGTGAATATACTCTACAGACCATGCAGTTTCAACTCCAAAACAAAGACACCTTCCTTAAATGCCTTTAGATTTTATAATTGTTTTTTAAAAATTTGTGAATAATTTTTAAAAATTTAGCCCTGGCCGGTTTGGCTCAGCAGTTAGAGCGTCAGCCTGCGGTCCAGAGAGACCCCGGGTTTGGTTCCCGCTAAGGGCACGTACCTGGGTTGCAGTTTGTCCCCGGCCCTGGTTGGTCGTGCGGTTGGCAGCCACTTGATGTGTCCCTTTCGCATCGATGTTTCTCTCTCTCTCTGTTCCTCTCTCCCTCCCACTCTACCTGAACAAAAAAATGATAAAATGTCCTCGGGTGAGGATAAAAAAAAAAAATTAAAATATTTTTTATTTTCAATTACAATTGACATACATTATATCACTTTTAGATATACAACCCAGTGATTAGACATATTATATAACTTAATAAGTGATCACCGCAATAAATTTCATACCCATCTGACACCACACAGTTATTAGATTATTGACTATATTCCCTATGATGTACTTTACATCCCATGACTATTCTGTAACAACCAATTTGTACTTCTTAATCCCCTCAGCCTTTCCCACCCATCCCCCACAAGCCCCCTGCCATCTGGCAACCATCAAAATGTTCTCTGTATTTATGAGTCTGTTTCTGTTCTGCTTTTGTTTTTTAGATTCAATTGTTGATAGATATATTTATTGTCATTTTATTATTCATATTTTTAAATATATTTTTCCTTCTTAAAAAAACCCTTTAACATTTATTGTAATACTGGTTTGGGGGTGATGAATTTCTTTAGCTTTTTCTTGTCTGGGAAGCTCTTTACCTGTCCTTTGATTCTAAATGATAGCTTTGCTGGGTAACACTTGTTGTATGTCCTTGCTCTTTATCAATTTGAATATTTTATGCCCAGCCCTTCTGGCCTGCAAAGTTTCTGCTGAGAATTCAGCTGACAGTCGTATGGGAACTCCCTTTTAGTTAACTCATTGCTTTTCTCTTGCTGCTTTTAAGGTTCTCTCTTTGACTTTAACCTTTTGCATTTAATTATGATGTATCTTGGTGTGGACCTCTTTGGGTTCACCTTGTTTGGGACTCTAAGCTCCCTGGACTTATGTGTCTTTATCATTCACCAGGTTAGAAAAATTTTCTATTACTTTTTCAAACAGGTTTTCAATTTCTTGCTCTCTCTCTTCATTTGGCACCACCATGATGCGAATGTTGGTACAGTTTAAGTTGTCCCACAGGCTCCTTACCCCGTCCTCATTTTCTTGGATTCTGATTTTTGTTGTTCTGATTGGGTGTTTTTTGCTTCCTTATATTCCCTATAAATTATTCATCATTTCAGTGTATCCTTCATTTCTGAATAGTTCTGTTTTATGGTTTCCATGTCTTTTTTCAGCTATTGAAGTTCTCACTAAGTTCCTTGAGCATCTTTGTAACTATTGTTTTCAACTCTGCATCTGTTAGTTTGCTTGCCTCCATTTCGTTTACTTCTATTTCTTGTTTTTTCACTTGGGACCTGTTTCTTTGTCTCCTCATTTCAGCAGCCTCCTTGTGTTTTGTGTGTGTGTGTGTGTGTGTGTGTGTGTGTTTGTTTTGTGGTATGTGCCCCTAGCGGGAACCGAACCCAGGACTCTCTGATCTGCAGGCCGACGCTCAACCGCTGAGCAAAACTGGCCAGGGCTCCCTGTGTTTGTTTTTATATATTAGGTAGAGCTACTACATCTCCCAGGCTTGGTAGAGTGGCCTTTTGTAGCAGGTGTTCTGTAAGGTCTAGTGGCACAGACTCTGATCACTCAAGCTGAACACTCAAGGTGTGGCCCCTGTGTGGGCTTTGTCCATCCTCCTCTTATAGTTGAGCCTTGATTGCTGTTGGCATGCCAATGGGAGGATTTACGCCCCCAGGCTGATGAGCTGCAAGGACTGGCTGCAACCACCGACCATTGCAGAGGTATGCTGGGGCCCACCCCACGAAGGACTTCAGCAGGGCTCTGGTTCCCGAGGAATCAACACTTGGAATGTGTCGCTTGTGGAGGTGGTTAGGTGGTGATGCTTCAATGTGGTCGTAAGCTGTCCACTGGGTGTGCTGGCTCTGCGGCCTCCTGAGAAGTGCCTGTGTTCTGCCCAGAGCCTCTCGGCATGCGCTACAAAGCAATCTGCAGGTGGCTGCTACTTGTGCTGGGCTTGGAGGTGCCCAGGAGAAGCCAAGCTGTGAACCAAGGCCAGCTGCTGCTAGTGCCAGGCGTGGGACCACTTAGCAGAAGATATGGGCACAGTGAGACCAGATGTTGCTTATTTGAGAGATTTTAGGGAAGTCCAAAGCATAAAGCAAGAGAGGCCATTTGTATGGAAAGATCACTGGAAAGAGCTTGAGTGGGCCCAAAAGTTGGGCAGGGCAGGACCCCAGAGCAGGGTAAACGGTGTTAGCCAGGTTGATGGAGACTCAAGTATGGTGCCCGCCTGCCAGTTCTGTGCAGGAAGGGCCCAGAAAAGGAACAATGGCTTTTGCCAGCACTTCTGTCTGCGAGAAAGCTGCCCCTCCAGTTCTCATCCTGATGCCAGACAATTCAGTTCCTTCCCATATGTCCCTGGTGCCTTTCAAGGTGCTGCCCCACATTGGAGCTCAGAAGGAGTGAGTCCGAGTAAATCCATGCCTAGTCCCTTTAAGGGGAACTGCCTGGGACTCCAGAGGCCTCCATTCCCCTCAGCCTCAATCCTGCTGGTTTTATAGCCAGAAGTTATGGGGATTTCTCTTCTTGGCACTAGAACCCTGGGGTAGGGTCCACCCCTGAGAGGGGACCTCCACAGCTGAGATACCTCTTCCAATTTTTATCTGCCACGTGTGGGCGTGGGACCAGCCTTTTCACTGTCTCCGTCTTCCTACCAGTCTCGATGTGGCTTCTTTTTTATATCCTTAGTTGTAGGAATTCCATTCGGCTAGATTTCAGGTTGGTTCTGTAGTTGAGTTGACATCTTGATATTGTTGTGGGAGGATGATAGTACCGCGTTTACCTATGCACCATCTTGACCAGACATAATCAGTTTTTATTACACCATTTCTTACTATTATAACTCTTTCTGGCTCCTTTAGCTGTTTTATCTTACTAACAAATAGTTTCCAATATGCTAAAATATTAACAGTATACTCGGCTCTTTTACATTTAATGTGTTGTTCTATTAAAAAAAGGGGAAAAGTGACTTTAGTAGGAATTTATGACAAAAAAGATTTGAATAATTATTGTATTGACATATTTCAAGATTAATGCATACACATAATTATGTGAAAAATATCTGACTACAAAGCATGAAGGCCAAAGAATAAAGATCAGTCATAAAAAAACAGCATCCCCTGACCATACAAAGGGGAAGAGTTACATGACTATTTAAAAAATAAAAACCTACAGATTATTCGTATCTTTACTTGGACTATTTTTATGATCCTTTAAGTTATTTATATTTCCTTAAATAGAAATGAAGACATAGTTGGTCTTCCCATTAAGCACAAGGTGAGTGCCAAGAATACTTTGTGTACTGTAACATATTTAGATGCTCTAGGGAAGTTCAGTATTCAGAATAAAGCTTCAGAGAGTATGTGCGGTGATGAACACTTTAATAATTTAAACAATCAACCTCTGGTCATGTGAAGACATGACCGGAGGGGATGTTCCCAGGGCCAGGCAGAGGCCCGGTGAACTGCGAAACCTTAGGCCCTTAGGGGTGCAGATCAGCCCCAGAAGAAGTCTGGCACCTCTCCGCCGGCCAGGACGAAATAGTCCTCCAGGTGGAAGGAAGGGTTAGAGTTAGTGAGCCCTTGGCCAAAATACAAAACTGAGACTATCATTTTCAGCATCCATGAGAGGTCCCAACAGTTGTAAGTTTAATAATTTCCGCTTGTTATTGTATAGGTTGTTCTCTGTCGAAGCCTGTGAATGGGGGTGACTGGACAGTACACATCTCAAATTTTAAAGAACTATATGTAGCTTCTGAGGGCCAGGAAGAGATGGGGCTGGGGAGGCTCCAGCCATACTTCAGCCAGGGAAACAGAAAGATTCCCAGGGGCCCTGAAGAGTTGGTGAGGAAGGCAGGGTCTCTGGGAGGTTTCCAGACACTAATTTATCTTGATTTCTTCATTATAATTGTTTTTTTAAGCAGAAGCACATACACACAGACACGCAGACGAGCTGTTTAAGAAGCCCAGCCATCCACATCCTCGACTGCTCTCACTCCAGGCAGCTGGGCCTCCTTTCGTGAGCGCTCAGCCCGCTGCGGGCCACTGTGGTCATTTCCAAGTCCTCTGGGAAGGACGCAGCTCCCTACAGTACAATCACACCCAAGTGGCCCGGTCTGCAGGTCTGCTCGACAGACACCTTCATGTAGGCAAACGGAGTTTAGCACAGCTACAAGCCTTTCCTATACATTTCAGTCATTTACAATTTCAATTTTTCCTTTACGTTCCAGAATCTTAAGTTGGGCTTAAATCTGAAAATACAGATTTTCAAGTGTCAGACACTGTCAGAGGCTGTACTTTGCAAGGCCTATATCAGTAGTTTATTTTTGGGAGCTGCAAGTCTGTAGTCCTGCATGACTGAAAACTTACCACTTAGAGTAGCGTTCACGGGATAGAGACATCTAGTGGTCACTACAGACAAAACACTCTGCAAAGTGTGAAAAAAGTATGTTCTCAGCCTATCTCTTAAGTAGCCAGGCGGCTGTTCCTAATGGCTTGCAAAAAAAAGGCCCTGGCCCTGGCCGGTTTGGCTCAGCGGTTAGAGCATTGGCCCGCGGTCCGGAGAGACCCGGGTTCGGTTCCCACTAAGGGCACGTACTTTGGTTGCAGTTTGTCCCCGGCCCTGGTTGGGTGGTGTGGGTGGAACCACTCGATGTGTCCCTTTCATGTCGATGTTTCTCCCTCTCTCTCTCCCACTCTATCTGAACAAAATGTCTAAAAAATGTCCTCAGGTGAGGATTAAAAAAAAGGTCCTGGTTTAAAACCATGTCTCTGGTCTTCACCCAGTATATGCCTTGTGCGACGAAGTAGGCAAGGCCGCTGGGTGGCAGCCCAAATGGCACGTGCCACCTCTGCTGCAGTAACACACTATGCTTCAACTTGGGACTCCTGTCTACACAGATATCACATTCCCGTGCTGGAAAGTCCTTGACTCAGCACCAGACACTTAAGATGAGTTTCTTGCATCTATTTAAAACTCATTACATTTTATTCTTACTCCTCAAATTGAAATTCTTCCCCTTTTCAAGACAGGTTTAATTCATTGTGTTGGGACAGTTAGGTACAAATTAGCTGTGAAGTCAGTCAGTAAATGAAGTCAAGTCTCTGACAACGAAATAAAAGGGAGTATCTGTAGAGTCACAAGACAAAACACATCAGGTGGCTATGTGCACAAACACCTGAACTATACACTGCGAAATTAGAGAGATTTGTAGAACCCAGTCTCTGCCCTCAAGAATCATATAAATGAGGAGGGGAGGAAAGTAGACAAATAACAACAAAGGGAAAATGGGCAGATCTTGTAAGATAGTGTCAAGTGCTAGGGAAAGTGAGAGAGAAAGATAGCTTTTGATTCTTTTGGTTCACTTGGTCAGAGGAAGGGTCCCAGAGAGGTGAACTGGGACTTAGTGGGGAGACATGATACCACCAGCAAAGTGTGGTTCAACATGGACAGCAGTGTGGTGGTAGCGGGGTGGGGGTTGGGGTAGGGGGTTGGGTGGGTGTGGTGGTGGAAGGGGGCATAGAATGGATAAATGGTGATGGGAAAAAAGTGTGGTTCAGGTGAAAGTGGGGTGTCCCACTGGGGCGCAGCTGGAGATGAGGCGGGAAGGGGGTCAGACCCCCCCCTGCAGGGCTTGGAGAGCCAGAACAAGGGATCTGTAAGCTATTCTGACATGCAGTGGGTACCTTCAGGTTTCCCAATCACAGGAAGTCGATTCCTGATCAAAGGCGCACTGCAATCAAAGCAGTGTTCAGGAATGTTAATCTGACAGTACTGTGGGGAGGATTAGGGGATGGAAGTAGAAAAGGGAAGGGAAAGACTAATATGAAAGGTATTTTGATGAAAACCGGATCGGGAACTGATAAGACTTGATTTTGAGTTTTTAAGTAAGGGTTTCTCAAAGATAAAAAAGTGGTGAAGCCAGGAGGGACCTCAGGCAAGACTTAATTGAGTTTTAGATATGCTAAATGAGATAAAAGAAGGAAATACAATTGTAAATGTCTGGCAGGCAGCCTGGGGCCCTGGGAAGCAGATCAAAGTCGGAGTTGTAAACTGGTTTCCAGCAGAGGTGAGACCCAGGAAAGCGAACACCCATCAAGAGTGCCCGAGAAAAGAAGAGCCCAGGTCAACACTCACCCAGAGCCACGGAGGGCAGAAAACACAGCTAGGCAGAGCTACCAAATGCAGCCGATGACCCTCAGGAAGGAAGAAGACAGTGGCAGATGCTGCAGAGGACAAGGGTCAGAGACTGAGGAGAGAGGAGGGGCTCTGATGAAGAGGTGACCTTTGAGGAATGATTTCAGCAGAGTGATGGGGCAGAAACCACCGTGCCCACGGAAAGGAAGAGTGTGGGCGGAGGCCAGTACAAGTGAGGCCACAGATCACCCTGGAGAACTTTCTAGTCAAATAAAGAGCAGCATCACAACTCAGGCAGACAGCATGTAAAGAAGTGCTGATTCTTCACAGACTGGGGGTTGGAGGTGGGGGCTTAAAAGTATAAAATCACAAGTACAGAATAAAGACTAAGGGGTGGGATTTGGGGACTCGAGGGCTGGAGGAAGATCCTTTTCCTTAAACACCGAGGGGCCCTCTGCTCCAAAACAGGAGAGATGGGAAGAAAAAGCCAAGTAAAGATACTGAGACTGAGACATTTTAAGAGAGAAAAGAAGAAAATTGGGGGAATTAATGCCACCAAGCTTCTCATTAGAGGAGACAAGGATACATACTGAAGTGGGGGAACACTGCGGGAGCTGAGGCTGGGTTAGGGAGAGGAAGAGGTGAATGAGGTCAGGCAGCAGCTGGCTTCCTAATGGACCTGACTTGGCACCTAGATCATGCAGGTGACACTGGCGAGGGTCCCTGGAGGGAGTGCTTGAGGCTCGAAGGTCCATGATTCCCAAGTGCTACTGGAAGGATGAATAACCAAGAAGGGTGAGGGGACAAGTCAGGTCATGAGGAAACGGGGAGCCCAGGAGCCCAGGGACAGGCGAGACCCATGGTCTTGCTGAGGGCAAAGAGCAGGTTCAGCGGGACAGAGGACCATGGAAGTTCAGAGTCTGCAGTCATTAGATTATCACAACCACGTTAGTTACCTGGTCTGATGGACAAACAACATCTTAAAGTAATTGGAGAATGAAGCAAGAACTGATTTGTGTGCCTTGAAGTACACATCGCCGATGGCAACCGTGCAGTCACACAGGAAACCAAACTCTCGCTGAGCGTTTAACTGTTGCAGGAGAATAAGTCCATGGTTGGCCAAATCCATTTTTTTAAAAATCTGCAAAGCAAACAATTTTTTTTTAAGAAAGACGATTCACAAACAAGTATGTGTCCTTACAGTCACCAATAGTAACGATCACAGGTAACATGCCGGGTACTGCTGCGAGCGTCCCCTATGTTCATTCACTCCGGCTTCCCAACAGCTCTCTGAGCAGCTGTCATAACTCCTGGCTCACTGAGGATGGCACTGTCGGAGTTCAGAGTTGCTTGATTTGCCCAAATTTACAGATGGTTTAAGGGGAGGAGTCAGGAAATGAACTCAGGTAGTCTGCCCTCTGGACACTAAGTATTCCCAGATCATTTAGTCTTTTAGTTTAGGATTCCAAATGCAAATTTTAATGATCAAATCTCCATAGAGATCAATTAAGATGCTGGGTGGGGCCACAGCAGGGCGGTCCTGGGGGGTGCAGATGGAACTCAGTTTGGGCAGTTTCCCAGACCCTACTGTGGCTCAGGCTACCCCTGGCCGGAGATAGTAACTACACACCATTACTCCTGGGATGCTTATACTCCCAGAGTAAGGAGGCTGAGGGGGTGGGGGTGGGAGGGCGGGTGTTCTCCCTCCTTTTTTGTGGAGGAGGAAACAGGCTTAGAGGTGTGAGCAATGTGGCCCAGACCATCTAGCTAGATGGTGGGAGGTCACTATTTAAATTTGAATGTTCTGACTCCAGATTCTAAGAGGGTCATTCCTCACATGTCACCCTAGCAAACCACTTGGACTGACTCCATCTATAGCAGCAGAACTGACCAGAGGAGCTGATTAATCAAAGCCATCGACGGCTCCTTCCCAGAGTCAAATAGCATTTATAAAAACCACGACACACAGATCAACATCATCCTTAACAGTATACCTAACGCTTAGAAAGATTCTTTCTCCGAAGGTTCAGATCAAGGCAAGGATGTCTGCTCTTACTGTTTAACATGGTACTGGAAGTTCTGGTGAGTATAATAAAGCAGGAAAGGAGCTAAAAGGCATTCAGACATGAAAAGAAAAATAAAATTGTCCCTATTTGCAGATGACGTAATTTTTACGTAAAAAAAATACCAAGGGATGTACAAAAAACTCCTAGATATAATAACAGAGTTTGGCAATGCCACAAGCTTATCAGATAAACATATAAAAATCAATTGTAGTCCTGGCTGGCTGGCCTACTTGGTTGGAGCATTGTTCTGTACACCCAAAGGTTGCGGGGTTCTTTTCCCAGTTGATGTATGTAAGGGGGGCAGCTGATCGATATTTCTCTCACATTGATGTTTCTCTCTCTCTCTAAAAAAAAAAAATCAATGAAAACATATCCTCAGGTGAGGAATAAAAAAAAAAAAATCAGTTGTAATTCTATATAGCACTAACTTTGAATTTGTGGACTCTGAAATTAGAAATATTACATTTACAATCACTATAACAAAAAGAAATACAACATGTAAATCTAACAAAGCATAAATAAGACCTGTTTGTTGAAAACTACAAAATGCTCATGAAAGAAATAAAAAAAGATCTAAATAAATGAAGAGACATACTATATTTCCAGTTAGGTAGATTTAACATGGTAAAAATATTAGTTTTTTCCCAAATTGATACATAGAGTTGATACAATTCTTATCCAAATCCAAGTAAGATTTCTTTGTTGATATAGACAGTAATTGCTACAGTACTCAACTGTGTGGTTAGTGGCGGGATAAATACAGGTCAGTGGGATAGAACAGAGGAATCAGAAGTAGACCCACTCAAATATGCACAATTGATCATTTAAAAGGCACAATGACAATTCACTGGAGGAAGAAGAATCTTTTCAACAAATGGTCCTGGATCAACTGGACTTCCATAGGCAAAAAAGAAACTTGACTAAGACTAGTAACCTTAACCATATATAAAAGTTAACTCAAAGTGGATCACAGACTCAAATTTAAGACACCACAGAATAGCTTTTGGGGAAAAAAAATAAATGGAAGAAAACCTTAGAGATCTGTGGTTAGATATAGAATTTTTTGTTGCTGTTGTTAATCCACACCTGAGTATATTTTTCCACTGATTTTAGAGAGAGTGGAAGGGACGGAGTAGAGAGAGAGGAAACAAAGAAAGAGAAAACATTGATTCGAGAGAGACACATTGATTGGTTGCTTCCCACATGACCCCTACCAGAGCAGGGATTAAACCTGCAACCCAGGTAAGTGCTCTTAACCAGAATGGAACCCTCATGGGCTGACACTCTAACCATCCAGGGCTAGATGTAGAATTTTTATACTTGACATCAAAAGTACAATCCAGCCCTGGCCAGTTTGGCTCAGTGGTAGAGCGTCAGCCCACGGACCAGAGAGGCCCAGGTTCGGTTTCCGCTAAGGGCACGTACCTCGGTTGCAGTTTGTCCCTGGCCCTGGTTGGGGTCTGTGGGCGTCTCTCTTACATTGATGTTTCTCTCTTTCCCTCCCCCTCCTGCTCTATCTGAAGACAAATGCAAGAATGTCCTCAGGTGAGGATAAAAAAAAAGTACAATCTATACAAGGAGAAATAGATGAACTTTAATTCTGAGAAAGACCTGTTTAGAAAATGAAAAACAAACAAACAAAAAACACAAAGCTAAAGACTGGGAGAAAAAATTTGAAAGCTTTTGCAAACTAGCCCTTTGATAAAGAACTAGTCTCTAGAATATACAAATAATTCTCAAAACTCAACAGTAAAAAACCAATTGAATTAGGAAATGGGCAACAGACTTGAGGGAACTTGAAGAGATGTACAAATGGCAAATAAACACATGAAAAGACGTTCAACACATTAGAATTCGGAAAGCAAATTAAAACCACAGTGAGATTTCACTATACACAAGGAAGGACGGAAGGACGGAAGGACGGACGGAAGGAAGGAAGGAAGGAAGGAAGATAACACTACCGAGTGCTGGCCAGGATGCTGAGGACCCGGATTGCTCGAACGCTGCTGGTGCGAATGGAAAGCCCAGTAGGCACTCCGGGGGGCAGTTAGCACTTTCTTAAAAAAAATGAAGCATGTAAATACAGTACTACCCAGCAATTACGCTCATGGACATTTATTCCAGAGAAATGAAGATGTACGTTCACACAAAAACCTGCACATGGGCCCTGGCCGGTTTGGCTCAGCGGTTAGAGCATAGGCCTGCGGTCCAGAGAGACCTGGGTTCGGTTCCCGCTAAGGGCACGTACCTCAGTTGAAGTTTGTCCCCGGCCCTGGTTGGGTCATGCGGGTGGCAGCCACTCGATGTGTCCCTTTCATGTCGATGTTTCTCCTTCTTTCTCTCTCCCTCCCACTCTATCTGAACAAAAAATGGAAAAAAAAAACAAAAAACCTGCACATGGATATATAAGCAGCTTTATTCTTAATATTCAAAATCTAGAAACAATTCAGATGTCCTTCAATGGGTGAATAAAGTGTGCTATGCCCCTGCAATAAACACTACTCAGCCACAGGAGAAATGAACTACAGATACATGCTACGATGAGGGTGAACAATGCTGAGTAGAAAAATCAATCCCAAAAGGTTATATACTGTACAATTCTGCTTATATAACACTCTTAACAATACAGAAATGGAGAACAGATTTGGAGAAGAGAGGGGAGAAAAGGGAAATGGGTTCTGCTATAGAAAGGCAACATGAGGGTTCCTCATGGTGATACAAGTGTTCTGTAGCTCAGCTGTGTCAATGTCAATATCCTGGCTGTGATAATTGTGCTCCAATTTTGCAAGATGTTTCCATTAACAGAAAAAGGGTAAAGGGTATATGGGATTCCCTTATCACTTCTTACAATTGCACATGAATCTATAATTATCTCAAAATAAAAAGTTTAATTTATAAAAAAGCCCACTACACATAAATTAATTAGCCAGATTAGAAAACTTCAGAATTATGCAAGCTACTATGGAGAATGCATTCCCAATAAACTTTAAAACAAAATCTGAGCAATTATTCAGTAAGTGAATTCCCCACTCTCCTTCCTATTCTAGGGATGAACTGACAGATTAAGAAATTAGCAAGTGTGCCATAAAAGAAATGAATCGAGCCCTGGCCAGTTTGGCTCAGCGGTTAGAGCGTCGGCCTGCGGTCCGGAGAGACCCGGGTTCGGTTCCCGCTAAGGGCACGTACTTCGGTTGCAGTTTGTCCCCGGCCCTGGTTGGTCGTGCGGATGGCAGCCACTCGATGTGTCCCTTTCACATCGATGTTTCTCTCTCTCTCTCCCTCCCACTCTATCTGTACAAAAAATGGAAAAATGTCCTCGGGTGAGGATAAAAAAAAAAAAAAAAAAAGAAATGAATCGAATGAAATAATACTTTAAGAGACTGATGAGGTTACAAGGCAAAATCCAGGATGTCGAGTTTCATGTCTTCTACCAGAACTGCATCCACATTGCCATAATTTGGGTATAAAGATGTAGACTGTGTCTCACTGGAGTGTGACATCAATGGTATGGGTCAGGACTTAGTTCCCTGGCGTGTATGCCAGAGAAGGTGAGAGCACTCAGGTAAGGAAGGGGAGACAGAGAAAAGGCATGGGATTCATGATGAAAGCAGAGATGTTGCCAGGTTGCAAAGTAACCTGGATCACAAAAAAAGCATTACTCTATCCTAACCTCTACCAGGATATAACTGTAGAAGCATGTCTTCAAAGTTGGTCTCTGAAAAGTGCAGAGCACTTCCTTTTCCATCTTATTATCACTAACCTGCTTTTCTTTCTTTCTTTTTTTTTTAATCCTCACCAGAGGACATTTTTCCATTTTTTGTTCAGATAGAGCGAGAGGGAGAGAGAGGAAGAGAGAGAGAGAGAAACATCGACGTGAAGGGACACATCGAGTGGCTGCCACCCGCACGACCAACCAGGGCTGGGGACAAACTGCAACCGAGGTATGTGCCCTTAGCGGGAACCGAACCCGGGTCTCTCTGTACTGCAGGCCGACGCTCCAACCGCTGAGCCAAACCGGCCAGGGTACTAACCTGCTTTTCTATATGAAAAAGTATATCCTCGAAGCGCAAACTGT